GAAAGATCTGTATGATGATGTGAAAAAATAAGAGGAACATGCAATGAGCCTAGAATGAAATATTTCCTTCTCATGGTTAAATCCCACTGTGAGTTCATGATACAAACTTTGCCTTTGATTAAAAGTTGCTCAATACACACCATTAAATCTAGTAGTGATTCATTATCACCATATATGATGAGGACACTTGCTGAAGATTTATTTATCTCATTATAAACTTCAATTAATTTGAATAGATGAGACACACCTTTGCTTGAGATCAGTAGCTCATAGGCCACACAAACTCTGTTCTTGGTCATCTCTTCTTTCAATTCAGCAAGAACCCATGAACCATTCTCATCCTGTGAGGTCAGCAGTCCTACCCAGCTCCAGCAGAAGTAAAGCAGTAAGGAGACCATGGCAGTGGCTATTGATGTGTCCTTTGGGGCTATCTGATAGAGAGCAGGAAACTTGTGATGGTCACTCAGGCCATGATCAAAAGGCCCCATGGTAAGCTAAAGAGAAAGAAAATTGGATGCTTCATGAATGAGAAGATTACCAGTAGGTAAAGTAGGTAGAAGGTAGGTTTTGTTTTAGTTTTGAAAAAATAGTTTAATTGTTTTTGAATAGTTGTGGAATATGTGAATTTATTTGTAAAATGTCTCCTGATCTGTCACTATTTTTATCAACTTTTCCCATCAATGTCAACCTCACCCACTCCCTGCCTTTCCTAATTCCATTTTCACACATGTATATTGAATATTACGTTGTTTATTTCCACCCATCCATTCCCTGTTCCTCTGCCTTTTCTGTCAACACCTACCTGACTCAGACAAGATATGCAATCTGGTGTTTATTTTTTATTAGAAAAGTAACAGCATGGACTTTCACCCCTATGTATACCATACTTTCACCAGACTGATCATATATATACATATACAAATATATGTATATATATGTAAGAGGCTATGTGTATGTGCCATATTTATTTCATATTGCATAGTTAATATTTTAGATCTAACTTTCACACATGAGAGAACACATTTCACATTTCTCGATCTGAGCCTGATTTACTTCATTCAACTGGGATTGAATCCTGATCCTCAAATCTCAGGCACCTGAGTAGCTAAGAGTTACAGGCATGAGCCACCAGCCACCAGCTCTTACATAATATTTTAAAGATGTACTAAATAGTATTCCTTTCTAGATTTTCATTGCAATTTTAAGTGAACTTACATGCCAGTAGAGGGGTAAAAACTCATGTCCTCGTGCATTTCCTTGTTTTTTCCCCCTCAAGACTGGTTGATCACTTGATTCACACATTTACTTTCTGCTTGTTGCTGGTTAATTGCAGATACAAGTTCCCTGATTAGTTAGCATACAGGTGTGGGTCATCAGTACCCTGTTCAACATATCTTCACACTACGAAGTCTTTTTCCATTTCCTGATTGTCTTAAAGAAAATTATTGATAAGGCTTGAAACAATAAATTATTTGTCTGCTCTAACTCTCCATTTCTCGTTTCTTGAACAGTGAATACACACACACACACACACACACACATCCCACTTTATATATAATTTTGAATACTTACTTTTTGATGCCACAAAATTTGATAGGCTCATAAGTCTCTTCCTTCATTCTCTTCTAGCACATGAAATATTAGTCATTTTTATATCCTTCTACATCTTCCACCCTCACCTGTGGAAATCTGTAGAGTCCCAGCAACGTCCCAATTTGTTCAGATGTTATTCCTGATGGTCCTGTAAGTACTGTTATAGACCTCCTTTCTCTCATACAGGAGTAGTTTGGAATCTTGTACTTCCCAAAGAACCAAGTGAAGGGATTCTTGAATATTGTCCAAGCTCTGAAGTGAATATTATACATATCAAATCCCAGAGAGAAGTTGTGTAAAAGATCAGGGTTTTTGTTGATCTCTTCAATAGCAAAAACCAAGGCCAAAACAAACTGATATTTCTTGAAGATAAGCCTGTATAATGAGCATAGAAATTTAGTAGGATTTTTACAAAACTTAGGATTTTCATGGATTGAATTCTCAATTCTCTGCTAATGACTGTTAAAATATTATCCTAATTGGAATAGAATGTGAATGCAATGTCTTATGTTTGTATATAGAATTAGTTAGGGACATGAAAGGAACATGCCATGAATGAGATTCAGAAACTTAATTAAACTGAGAGACAGCTTCCTTTTCCCCTACTATTTCGTGCAACACAGCAAAAAGCTGTTATCCATTGTGTTAGGTTTTCATGAGGCAGAAAATATTCTGGAAATCTTGTGTTTGGGTCACCTAGTTATGTTATGGGTTTGTATGGCAAGTCAGACTAACTAATGAATGTTCAAATTAAGAGCAACTTTCAGAAGCAAAGTGTTATTTATGAAAGATTATATAGCAAACTGTTCTAACAGACTCAACTTGTTGAACAGCTCTTCCTGGAATATCAACCAGAACAAGAGCTAAAATATAAGGTAAGAGAATTTTATTTTTATTTATGCAATAAAGCAAAAGGGTTGCATCCAACTCCAATGAACTAATTATGGAGAGGGGAGCCTCCAATATGGAGGTTGAGAAGAAAATTGTAAGGAAGAATTACAATGCAATCCCAATTCCAAGGCCACCATGGTAAAATGCTGTGCTCACTATTCTCTTCCAAATATATATAGATTGAGAAACTGAAAAGAAACAAATAGAGAGAAATAAAAAGTTTCAGAGTGGGCTGGGAAGGTGGCAGAGTGGTAGAGTGGTAGAGTGCTGGCCTTGCATACATGAGGTCCTGGGTTCGATTCCTCAGCACCACATAAGCAAAAATAAAAGCTGGAAGTGGTGCTGTGGCTCAAGTGGTAGAGCGCTAGCATTGAGCTGAAGAGTTGAGGGACAGCACCCTGGCCCAGAGTTCAGGCCCCATGACCGGACCCCCCAAAAAAAGTTTCAAAGTGCTCTTCTATTTTTCTGTGTTTCATGTCTGTGAGTGCCAGGTGTGTGTATGTGTACATGCACGTGCACGTGCACATGTGCACACACGTGCACATGTACGCACTTGTCCACATGTGCATGTGTTATGCACATTCTAAAGAAATTTTATATAATGAAATCAACAGACATTCTTCAAAAATGGAAACAATGAAGGCACATCGGAACTACTAATTAAAGGATAAACTTGTTCAACATATGCTGTAGGTATATATGAAATGATCACAATGAAAACCTATCATGTTTGTGAAGAAGAATAGTGACTTTGAGGGAAATCTAATTGAACCACAAATATGGCAAAGCAAACTGTAAGTAAGAATGAAGATGTGTGAAAAGGTTTGTCAAAAGTTGATTATTTTCAAAAAAGGAATTGTGAACAAGGATACAGTGTACTATTCCTTAACATGAAGGGCAATGAAATTTTTGACCATAACATCTACAGCAAGCTGTCTCATCATGATTTCACAAGTGAGATACATATACAGGGAGGGTTCTCTAAACTATAACAGAAATGGGACTCATATCATATAGGTGTGCTCTCATTTCCCTAATAGCTGAATCCTCAGTAGTATCCATATAATCTAGAGAATGTGGCAAGAAATCTTTACAGTAATAATGCAGATAAAATATATGTAAATTATCCACAAAGAATACTGAGCCCACAAAAGATATCCTTTAGAAATGAAGAAAGGATAAAGATGTTGTCAGAGAAGCACAGTTAAGAGTATCTGAGTAATGAATGAGCTAATGACTTCAGGGAGACTTCTCAGCAGAAGAAATAAGAATGGCAAATAAACACATTAAAAAATGTTGAACATCTCTTTCCATAAAGAAATGCAAATGAAGACCAAACTGGGATTGTGTCTCAACTCAGAATGGCCATTATCAAGAAAACAATAAGAAATGTTGGTGAGGATGTGGTCCAAAGAGACTCTCCAAAGAGACTCTATTACACTGTTGGTGGGAATAGAAATGTGTTCAACTAGTTTGGAAAGTAGTATGGACGGTCCTCAAACACTAAACATAAAACTACCCTAGGAGCCAACAACTCTACTTCTGAGCATATATCCAATATTGAACAAACAAAGACACATTAAAGCTATCACCACAACCATGTTTATTGCAGCTTTATTTAATATAGCCAAGGTATTGAAATAGCCCAGATACATCTATATACATAATGGAATTCTGCTTATTCATGATAAAGAATGGCATTGAACCATTAAAAAAGAAATGGAAGCCAGGCGCCAGTGGCACACACCTGTAATCCTAGATTTTCAGGAGGCTGAGATCTGAGGATCGAAGTTCAAAGCCAGCCCGGGCAGGAATGTCCCTGAAACGCTTATCACCAATAAACCACCAGAAAACTGGAAGTGGCACTGTAGCTCAAATGGTAGAGTGCTCATCTTGAGCTAAGAGCTGAGGGACAGCGCTTAGTCCCAGAGTTCAAGCCCCATGGCTGACCAAAAAAAAAAATATTAAAAAGATAAAGAAATGGAAAGATTTGGAGAGGATTATGAAATGTGAAGTAAATCAGACCCAGAGAGAAACACAGATGGTATGATTTCTCTCTTTAATGGAAACTAGAATGTGTCTATAAATCTGGAAGTAAGCACACTGAGTGGTATCCAAGCCATTTTAAATGAATTAACTGAAGTATAATAGAATCTATGGAGACCCCAAGATAAGTATTCAAATGTTTTTTTTTCTTTCATGTAATTGTTTCTAACATATTTATAAGATGATTTCTATGTTGCTTTGTAGGTCCCTCCCCAAGGTATAACCCTTACTTTCACTATATTTGATGTTTGTATAATTTGTGGATGGGAAGGGCAAAAACAAATAGTTTAACTAGGGATACAGGTAGACCCATTTGAAACAATGAGATGTAGAAGTAGTTATGTAGAAAAACTAACTTTACAACTTTGGTGGGGGGGGGAGAATCGAGTGGGTAATTAGGGGGAGTATGGGAAGGAATGGGAACCCCATTCCTTATCAAGCAACAATGCTTGATAAGAAATGTACTCCTTATCTAGCCCATGTAATTGTAACTCCTCTGTACAGTATTTTTACAATAAAATTTTTTTAAAAAAGAATCTATGGACAGCAAAAATAATGTAATTACTAAGAAAGATAAAGTCTAAACCCAACAAAATGAGTATTAGGAATACCTGCAGGGTGTAGAAGGTCAAATGTATAGGAATAGAAGCATGAATATGGGAGATGAGTTGAATGCAGGCAAGAATGCATTGTATATGCCACAAAATTAGGACAAATAAGGGAAGGGTTGGGTGAAACATATTGAAGGGATGACACAGATCAAGATGCATTGTATACATGAATTGCTTTGATAAATGGCAAAAAATCAAGACCTAATCTAAAATTAAGAAAATGAAGCATGGGATTCAGGAGGGAGTGATATTGAGGCACTGAATTCATCAACTGCTCTCTTTATACAACTGCATAAAGCAAATAAAATTTTAAAAATCTATTAAACTTACCAGTAAGAGTGACTATACCATTGAGCTGAGAATGTTCCAACAATGCTACCACTACAACCATGCTTATTGCAGCTTTATTTACTATAGGCAAGATATGGAAGCAGTACAGATGTTCCTCAGTGGAGGAAAATGTAGTCTGTATACACAATGGAATTCTGTTCATCCATTACAAAGAATGACATCAAACCATTCATAAAGAAATGGAAAGACTAGGAGAGGATTGTGTTAAGTGAAGTAAACCAGACTCAGAGAAGCACAGGTTGTATGATTGTTGGGAACTAAAATGTGCCTGGGGCACACAAGCATTTATAAATGAATTAACTGAGTTTAATAGAATCTATGGAGAACACAAATAGTATAATTCTTTAGAAAGATAGAGTCCAAGTCCAAAAAATGAGTGCCAGGATGGGGGTATATATACATCAGTATACATAAAGTGCACATAAATTGTTTGTTAAATGGCAAAAAACAATTCAATACATAACCTAAAATTAAGAAAAGAAGGGAGTGAGGTGGGAGGTGTGGGTGAGAATGTTGAAAGGGGTGACACTGATCAAGAGGCACTGTATTCATAAACTGTTCTATTGAATGGTAATTTGTTGTACTTCTACCAAAAGAGAATAAAAATCTAAAACTGTATAAAACTTACTGGTAAGAGTGACTATACAAAGTGACCTGCGAATGTTCTAACATTGTAAATGTGGTAGACAAATCTTACACATAATTCTTATGAAGAGGGAAAAATTGGTAATATATCTAGTAATTACCATAGATAAATGTAAAATTGAATATCCAATTTACAAATGATGGGAGGAATACATTGCAGTTGCAGTTTTCATTTGTATGTCTTTAATATTTTATCTTAAAATATTAAATGAAAAATTTCACTAACAGTTAAATGAAAAGATTTCATTATAACCTTTCTGTAATTCATTTATGGATTTGATCACAGTCCTCTACTATTTGTGTGTGTATATTTTGTTTCTGTTTTATCTTCATTGTCATGGATAGTTGTCATCATTCCTAAATAGTTTGTTGTAATCTATTTTAGCCCCACAAGCACCACAGAATGTATAACCAACAAATTAAAACTCATATTCCAAAAGTCAAAAGTCACTACTATTGAACTCAATAGAAGATTCTAGATGGAGAGCAAGGGTGGGAGAAGTTGCAATAAACATAGAGAAGAAGTCACATATTGGAAGTAGTGACAAGTGATCTGTCAATAATGACTGGGAATGGAAACGCAAGAAACCACCAATAAGAGTTAGAATGTCTGAATGAATAAAACCTCCAATCCAAATGATAGTTTGATTCCAAGAAACACAATTCACCATCAGCAGCCCTCAATGAGTGTAAGAAAGGAATGTAAGGCAGACCCAGAGAAACATAGTTTGCATGGTTTTTCTAAGTGTAGTAGCTAGAATGCACTTCTAAATCTACAAATAAACAAGTCAAATGATAAAAAAAAAACAATAAAAAAGACACTTGGGATGG